TGTTTCCAGTGATTTCTGCTCACCTCAGTTTTGATGAGGAGTGTCAATGCACGCACGGTACGGTGATGAGGAACATGCAGGCCAGATTTGTTGTGTAGCAATCTTCACTTTGAATAGATTTCATGCCGAAGGACTAAATATGGGACAGGCTGCATGGCGTTGAAATTCAGCAGGGAGACAGTTAGAGACTGGCTCTACTTGTATATTCTACTAACAACTTGCCAAAGGACAGGGGATGACAGTAGGGATGACAAGTCAGACTGTGATCAAGGTCAGAGCTAAAATGTCTGCGAAAAATTGCGAATTCTTTGGACATAGTGGGGTTTTAGGTTTTCTATTCATGTGAAAAAAGGGGATGGAGGGGTGCTGGGAAAAGGGAAAATACTAGACTGAATGAGTATGCCAGGTATGACAAAAACAAGTATGAATTGAAGCTGATGTTGGAAGCTAGAGAAATGTTCAGAAATAAATGGTGTGCTTGACAACACTTGGTATTCAGATGCTATTATCTCATTGCACATGATGTCAATGAAGGACATGGGTACACACACACACACACACACACACACACACACACACACACACACACACACACACACACACACACACACACACACACACACACACACACACACACACACACACAGAAATCATCCTGAGGGTGTTAGCGTCTAATTATTTTTCTGGAAAAAACCCTTATTTCTAAATTGAAAAGCCCTCAAGAAATTCATCAGAGATTGGTGGTACACAATACATTAGGGGTCGGCAACCTTTTTGATATGAAGTGCAATTTAAAAAACAAAAATTGTGATCATTGTGCCGACGATCGTGAACTATCAACGGGGGGGGGTGAAGAACTCGATCAACGCTCGATCGACGCTCGTGAACTGTCACCAGGAGGGCGGGGGGAGCCTCACTGCGGGGAAGCAGTGTGTGGACCACTTTCACCTGTCAGATGCCGTTTAAACAAATTTAAATAATTGGTTTAAACGGCATAATAATAATGACGACCGTCCGTTCTGTGATTCTCCAGAACACACAGATGGCCAGTCCGCCCCTGTGTAGCATATTATTTTCGATGAGAGATGAGCAGATCGCCACTGGGCTTTCAACTAAAGACACAGTCACGCAAAAACTGCGGCATTTGTACAGCTCCTTATGGGTAGCCTATACTGCAATTTGTGAAGTGCGGGCACGCTCCGGCAGCACTACACCCCTGATCGTTTCACCAAGGAGGAAAGCAGCAGCAAGTCCACTGGAGTTAAACTGAGAGTGGGGCTGCGTTGCGTGCATGGCTTCCTTCAACGGGGAGACACGCTCTGGCGGCGGTCTCGCTCAGGATCCGAAAATAAAATAAAAATACTTTGCACATATTCCACCTATTCCTAGTGTGCCACTGGTTACAGTGCCGCGTGCCAGGGGTTGCCGACCCCTGCAATACATCATCAGCACCAGTGCCAAACCAGCATCACAAAATGAAAATACATTTAACCATTATTTTCTGTACGTGATGCTCGTGTGCATATTAAAAGTGTTGTCATGTAAAAAATCTGATAATTTGTTATTGTATGTTTTTCCTGGAGTATTTACCAATGTGAGGTTTTGAAGCTTTCAAACAATATGTCTGAGCTGTTATCAGTGAAAATTACTCTGCTGTTAAATCAGAAATGTAGGGTCAGGCAGGCAATGTGTTTTATGAATGTAACCCTAAATAACCCCGACTGTGGTACTGGGAAAACATTTTTCAAGCAAAATGATTTGAAACGGTGGTGCATGATGTTTACATGCTCTCCTTTTCTGTTTATTTTACCATATATTAACATGAAATAGAGCCCTTTCTTTGGTATCTTTTTCATCAACTGCTCATCAGAAACGTACAGAAGAATATTACATTTCTGATACATTTTCTGTTTTCATTCACAAAGATTGTGAGCCTAGTGTCATATGTGCAAGAAGCTGTGAATATTTTCTATTAAGACTCCACAAAGAGGAAATTGGGTTTGCTGTTTTGCTGGCATGCACTGTATTTAATTTATTATATATATTGTATTACATTACATTGCATTTAGCCGACGCTTTTATCCAAAGCAACTAGTTACAACAACTTTATTTATTATATCAGTCCTCTTTTTTGTCATTTTCCACTTTTTCTACAGAGTTGTTGGAACAATATTTATGTGCAAAATGAATGACTATTTGTGAAATTAGTTGCAGATTAAATTTCTGTTGATCTACTCGTTGTTTTAAGAACTAATTATGGCAGCTCTATTCGAATGAGAATTTAGTTTCTGATAAAAGATAAAGAGGAGGCATGTGGCGCAGTGGACTAGTGCGTTGGTGTTCGGATCAGTCAGCATGTCATTGTGTCCCTGGGCAAGACACTTCACCCCAAATTGCTCCAGTGGGGATTGTCCACAGTATTGAATATGTAAGTCGCTTTGGATAAAAGCGTCTAACAAGTAACATGTAATGTAATGTAATAAACAACAAGTCATGGTAGCTTTAAGATATTTCTTACTGGAGTTTGGAGTCACGACCCAACACGATTTTCTGACCACATCTTCATCTCACAGTTCTCTGCTCTTCTCGCCCCGCGGTTTTCCTTGTTGGCAAAGCATTTTCTTTTTGCCTCTGCGCCAGAGAGACAGCCATGACCAGTGGAAAAATGTATTTCGGGTTGTCAATCTATCAGTCCATCCTTTCTATTGTCATCAATAAGATATCTCAGTACCGCCTGGAGGACATGTCTTCAAGTTTGAAACAACATTAACCTTTACTGGTCAGATTTTGATGGTCAAAAATCAATGTGACCTAAAGAAAAACACAAATTTGTAGAAAAAAACGATTTAATTGATGACAAATGAGACAGTTACTGTGAACTTTACTCGTTATAATGGAGGCATAAAACACTGAGGCTGATTAATAACTGATTCTTTACCGAACCTTTTCAGCACAAAAGCAAATAATTGTTTAGGTTTTATGCAGGTATAAAGTTATTTCAATGTTTCAAAGTGATTTATATGTAATCCGGTGTTTTGCTGTCTCTCTTGCCAGTAGGAGTGGGATGTAAAGACCATTATGAAGGGAAAACTGCCTCTGTAGACCAGTGGGCTACTGTGACTTGGTTATCAGGGTGTTCATGCAGTTCCTGAGGAATCAGACAGTGTGAAATTGCAGGGAGGTGAATGTTGAGGCTCAGCTTAGAGTGTGTGTTTATCCCACACAGCAGGTGAGCTGGACCAAAACCCCGGACTGGGTTCTCTTTACCATCTTATTATTTATGATGGGTCAAATACATCCTGACACCACTGACGATGTATATTAGTGGGTGACTTTGTTTCCTTACGTAGTTCTCTATTTGCATGTTATTAACACTTCCAGTAGGCTGCAGTTTATATAATGCAATCATCATATTCCCATTGTCCCAGATGCCATTTTCAATGTTTGCTTCATCAGCCTGGGCGTAGTCGACATTGAAATAAAAATAATTGGCTTTTATGTCAATATTTGCCCTTGTTCTATTGATCTATGTGTCTCAAGCTTCTATGCTTAACATCTCTACAAAGTGTGCAAGATTCTTTTAATACCCGCAGATTAGCAAATATCCATGAAGCTATAGGAGAGTAAACAGCACGCCCAACTTGAACCCTCAAATTAAACATGCAGATCAGCAAGAGTCTAAGCCATCCTTCTCAACAGTCGCAATATTATGTAATCACACACACACACACACACACACACACACACACACACACACACACACACACACACACACACACACACACACACATACATTTACAGCATCCAGATGGAAAGAACTGGTTCCCCACTCTCAGGATGCAAACAATCCTCTGATGGGAAAGTACACACAGACACAGTGTTAAATAGCCTACAAGGCATTAGGAGGAGGATAGCACAGTGGATGTTGGAGGAAGTCGGCACGATATCCTATTCATGTCTCTAACCGTTCTGTATTTTCATAGAAATATTGCCCGTGCAATGTGAACAGGAAATGTGGTCCGAGGGTCTGCAGTGAGTCTGAGCAGGAAGCTCCGAGGCTCCATTCCACAAGTCCCTGCAGCCAGCCGTAATTGGCTTACACATTCCTCCAAGGATTACCACTCACTTCTTATTTGTGTTAGTGAAAAAAAAGTATTAAAACATTTGCTTTGGCTCCTTGAATTGCACTCGGGCAAGTGTCAAAACACACTCAGATATTTCACTCAATGTGTGAAATATCTAAGTGAAATGAGGATTTCAACTCTATTTGAACACATTCATAGTTTTATTTGTGTTGTAAGCAGTACTTTCCAGATTTGGTCTGCATCTTCACTTGATTTTGTGTGTAAGTGCCTGTAGTACTCTTTAGATTAAGACATCTTTGAATATGGAAAAAGCACTATATAAAATATTATGTATTATTATTTCCTCTTCACTTGCCTCTGTCGTTTTTATTTTTTTATTATCCTCGTTATTTACTTGCATTTGAGAGCCGCTTAGCTCAATTTGTAAGAACAGTTTGAAACGGAAACAATTTAAATGCATAAGTTGGACCTATTTAGGCTGCTTTGTTCAAATGGGAAATTTGCTCTCAGAACAATATAGAAGCACTATTGTGTTTTATAATTGCAGCATTCCTGAAAACAGACTGCAATTACAAAAAAGGACATTGCGTGTGCCAAATGAAACAGATTGACTCTTGGGGTGATGACACTGTCCCATTATTATATATATATATATAAACAGAAATAGAGAAGTCTCTCAGAGAGCCAGATACGAAATAAGGAGCACCCTAACCATATTGATCTTGTATATGACTCACGTGGAGTTTGTAGAGCTGCTTATTTTCCCAGAGCTATTATCTATGAATGAATCTGGACTTTTTGATTCGCCGGGTGTGCCACCTGCTGGTGCGTCACGGCTGCTCCGGCCAATCCTGACGCAGTGATCCTCCGTGCGCCCTTGGAGATGCCGCACAGCTCATCACATCGCCGGCCAACCTACGGCTCGGTGACGGTAGAAGGCGAGCCCCGTTAGCTGTTTACCGTGAACGCCTCAGACTCGAGAGGAAGGGACTGCTGCTGCTCTGCCAAACATGCACCCGACACAAGTTTGACTGGATTGTCCATTTTCCCATCTACTTGTACTGCTTTTGACCTGCGCACCATTGAAAGTGATGAGGTAGGTGAACATATTGAAACTAAAAGTTTTGAGAATACTGTAACAGCAAAGTGTATGGTCTTTTACTGGGAGAACCGATTCTCTTCTGCTTTATTCTGTCACGATTTCGTCGCACTACGTTGCACTTTGAAGTTGCAGGCACAACAGAAAATTGTTCTTTACGCGTGCTTGTCTCCTGATCGCACATGTATTGTGTTCAGGATAGTATTGCATGCTCGTATTAGGTGTGTTCTTGTTTAAATGCAAGTTTGGCAAACAAGTGCTGCTGCTGCTGCTGCTCCCCGCTCAGCATCCCTGCCCAACCCATCTGCACTCTTCAGATGCTTCCCCTCCAAAAATGCTACGTGGCTTCTCAAGCAAATCTGTAAAGTTAATAAAAAACACGGACAAATATTTGTTTTCATATCTGAAATCCTCTGAAAGTGAAAGTTAATGAAAAAGGAGAGCAGAAGGGATATTTGGGTTGATGCGTATTCTCCCTCTTGTGGCACATTATTAATATGGTGATCAGATATCAAGTATTTGTGACTGCATGGCTATGGACAGAGGAGGAAATTAATTGTGTCCTTACATGGCAAGTGAAATGCTTTCATGATTTGGGGTGACTGTTTATTTATGATGCCCTTAGATGGCAACGTGAAGGAATGTTCCCTCTCACTGACCTGGGGGTACTTTGACATTGTTCTGGATAATGAGTAAGAGCAGAGGGAATGGCATCTGTGCCATGGTGCAAATATTTTCCTTTTGGTCTACGGCTGCAGTTATTCATCACAGAAGCCTCAGTGTGACTTTGACAATACAGTAGCCGTACTATAAATTATTCCCCCATGTCTGTAAACCTGATAGTTTAACATTTTAATATGTTGCATATATCAACACAACCAGCGTGTTTTTATATCAATATATCAACAGAGTCACTGTTAGGGAACAGTGCAGTTCTATGTCATGGTGAATGCACGCTCTGTTACTAGTCTGGTAAAGGTGGAGCAGGAATGTGTTTAGATGATTGTGACTTTCCATTGCCTGCTGAGGGGAGACACGCAGTGGAGGACATTCAGAGAAAGGGACACATGAAGGAGAGGGTGAGATAGAAAAAAGGCAATAGGTCTTTCATGGCTTGATTTATTGTTTGAGCCCCGGTCAATATTGGTTGACCAATATTTTTTCAGGCTTTACCTGTCTTGATAGATGGTTTTGCTTTGCTTCTGTCATATTGATCATGGACTGTGGGTGGAGGATAGTGCATTGTGACATTGATAAGTGCGATGAAAACGCCTTGCTTTTACCTTCTGCTGTACCTGGGGTTGTGCGTAGGTGTTGCACAGGGTGGCTTCTTGGCACAGATGCAGATGCTCTTTGGATTATTAGTCCCAAGCTTGTCTTTATGTACTGATATAGAAAGCAGTCAGCCTTTAAAAGTTTAACCTACCATTTGTAATTCATTTTTTGGGAAATACTGCTATAGTTTACTGGAACCTAAGATTTTCCCCCATTTTGAGTTCAATCATCAAAGGAATTGCTGGATTTTTGGGAAATACTCTCATTGCTTTCTTGTTAGATGAAAAGATCAACACCACTTTCATGTCTGTACTGTAAATATGAAGCTATGTAGCCAGCCGCTGATTAGCTTAACTTAACATCAAGAAAACGAAGAAACAGCTAGCATAGATCTTTCTGAAAGCTCAATTTGTTTGGGCCCAAAAGCAGCTCCGAAACTCATTCAATAATTTATACCCAGTTTATTATTCCTACCAAAACCCAATGAGAAAGTTTAAGTAGTTGGGTTGGTGGTGACCAGATTTATTTCAGTCTTAATGCTAAACTAAGTTAATTGGCTACAGCTCTATCTCTTGCCATATATCAAATTTGTGTATTTCCCAACATTTTGAACAGTTTCTTTAAAGGGAAACATAAATATGGTACATATTCTTCTTAATATTTTCAGTTTAAAATGGAACTTTGTCAGATTAGGAAAAGACTGATTCACACTGGTGCAATATTATCAAAAAGAGGCAGCTTAAATTCAAATACAACATCACAAATATTTGGCCTCCATGGTATGTCTCCTTAACCAAAAACTATGGCTGCCAAAAGGTGCAGAGGTTGGGGAGAAACCAACCAGCAGAGCGAGGTATAGAGCTAGTGGTCACAACTAACAACACAGGAATATGCAACAATAACATATGTGAAATAAATAGTGGCAGCCACTTATTATTCAGACAAAAGCTTAAAACATTATAGCCCTCAGGACGAAGCGTGCTCTTACTGGCTCCACAAGGCTACTTTTAGAGCAGGCAACAGGAGACAGTGATGGGAATTTTACAGGAGTCAGCTGGCCAAACAGACAGCCTAACTCCTCCATTGGGTTTCATTAGAGCTTGTCTTGATGTTAGAGCCTGTTTAATCCACTTTCACAGCCATGCAGACCACAACACAGCAAAGCACAGCATCTATCTATAGACAGCAAATTGGCATTAACTTTTCCATCTCGGTTAAATCATTTAAAAAAAATAGCACAAATTCTCTGTAGTTGGCCTCAAAATGTCTCTCTGTACAAACGTTGTGCTCGTAATAACCCGTGCTCATGGGAAAGGGGATTTCATCACCGGATGGAAAGCTGTCAATCAGTGTCTGCTCAATTACGTTGTTCATAAAGAACTGTGTTTATACAGCCTTGCACCACTTCCTTATTTCCGTGTAAGCAGAGACACTGCCTTAGGGTGCGATTACAGGAAAGCCTTGAGGGGTGAGGGATTGGTCTCATTGTCTTAGTATCCACTCTCTGGGCAGCTACTGCTGTTGTCCCAAGTTCGAAGCACCTGTTTAGCTTCAAAGACACAGTGCTGGGAAGAGGCTATGTCTAAATTCAGATACTACCGTTATAACACACATACAATATAATGAAAGTGTGGTCAGTGTTCCTTCTTCTTCTACTTCTTCTACTTCTTCTTCTGCTTCTTCTTGGCATACTTCAACCGGATATTATCCAGATATTACACGATCACACAAAATAGCGTCTTGCCAGGCTTCAAGTAATGCTTGTGAACGGACCAATCAGCATCCTTCATGCCTGCGAGGAGATATGGACGTGTGTGTGACAGCTGGTCGTTTTAAGCAGGAATGGCAGCGTTATTTTATATGACCATTAATTAAGATACAATTCTTATGAAGGGGATTTAATCATCATTATATTTGGCGTCTAATGCAAATAAAATGCTATTGACTCAACTTGAATTTTTGGCGTCTCACGGTCATATTACTTGCAATAATGGCGCCCTGCGGGTGCAATTTAGGCTTTTATGGCTAACACGACGCTCATCACTCACTGACCTTTACTAGTTGTCATAAGCCAAGCTGGAACTGCCCCTTATTGGTGGCAATAAGGTGTTCACTTCAGTGCTGTTAACAACTGCTGCTGCATGTTTATCTTAGGATATTGTGTATGTTCAGCACACAGAAATCCACACAAACACAAATCAAGATAGTGCAAGTGAGATGTAGTTCAAAGGTCAGGTTTTTGGCAGGAAACGAAGGGTGATTTACAGTGGAAGAGTGAAGGTCAGAGATGTTGGCTACAAAGGTTCATGTGGGTCTTTTAGGTCTATAAACTCTTCGGTGTGTTGAATCAGTCAGCTGTAAATGCCCTTAAAAATACCCCTCATGGTGCGTTTCATACCAGTATTTCCCTACAATTTGCAAATAGCAGGCTGGTACACTCCACTGCACCAGCAATCTTTATTCTAAGTTTTTCTCTTTGAATCATTTAACATTTTCTTTCTTCTGCCCTAATGTTAAGGCATTCTTCCCTTCTCACCCACTCTCTCTGTCTTACTCTCTCTGTCATGTTTCACTGCCTCTCGCTCTCAAACTGTCTCACTCTCGCTACTTCTGCTCCCTTGATAAAATAAACCTCACTTGAGGGAACTCAGATTCATGTCTAATATATGACTGCTCTTTTGTGTCTGCTCTCTGTCTGTGCTTAGCAAATAAATCAATAACGACTTGCCCTCCCATCATTCTTACTGGTGGTCTATAGGGATGGATTACAGGTAGAGAGAGATGTACTGTTCACATAGAAATTGAGAAAATAGACAGTGAACGAGTCAACAGGGAATGATACTGATGCAGTGAAATACGTATACTATAGTATGAGACAGAGTAAATCTGCACCAGCTCAAGTATAGCGTGCTACAAAAAAAGAGAGAAACTGTGATAATGATGGATGTTTGACTTGGCTCGGACCAGCCTCGACAGTAACTCTCAATATTCGGCCGTATATTTCTTAGTTCGTCAAAGGCTTGTTTATTATTCTGAGTCAATGTACTTTTACACAGTATTGATTAAGTTAAAGATTGCTTTGTAAACTCTCACGTACACTATGTTCTTTTTCTCACGATAGGACACTGTGATCTTTTTAAAACTATCTACAGTAGCTCTGGAACATTGAAGCTTATATAAAACTAACAGATTTCTCTTCATAAACATTTTGAAGTAATTTGAACCAACTGTTTAGTCCTTTTAATAAACTCTGCGGGGTTTTCAGTCGGGGCTGCGAGTTTAAAATATCAATAAGACAGCAATTGCCCTTTGTTTGCTTAATTTGATTGGCTTCAGTCTCATAATGTTCTACAGTTAATGATCCTGAAAGTAGCTAGAACAAGACGGTGTTTAGGGAGCAGGGACTATATGTAAATATGAGTAAACTGCTTCTGTGGATGAAAGGAACCTGAAAGTAAGAAAGAAGAAAGAAAATAACTTTAGCCGCCAGGGAGAAAATGGATAAAAAGAAACGAAATTCAAAGACACCTTTTAAAGTGTGGATATTTTTCTTTTAAAACAAACATTGCCTTGATGTTTTAAGTTTTCCTTGAATGTTACTGATTCTTGTTTTGTACATTGCTAAACTCTCCAAAAAGCACGTTCGCCTTGTTCATCCTCGTAACAATGCAGCACAAACTTTTTATTTCAACAAAATGATATGTTGTCTGAAAGAAAAGTTT